AAAGTCTTCCCAATAGTCACCTTAATCCCATGGAGTAGGCAAAGTGACAATCTTTAAATGCATTCATATGGGAAGCAGAAAAGAAGCTGTTAGTCATTTTCTGAATTAAATAGACCAGGGAAAGTGAACCGATACCATTGGATAAGAGAAATTAATAAACTATTTAGGGTGGTAGAGTTGGGAAGACACTATTTTTTGTCTTAGAATCCGACAATTGGAATGGCCATTTAGCCCATTACTCCAATAATAATATATTATTATTATTATCTGGACTCTATTACTAGTTTGTCCAGCCTCTATTGATAGGTTGCCAATCCAAACTCTAGAGAAGTTGGCAGGGTATCATATGCTAATCCCTTCACAACGAGATTGTCAAAGGGAACAATAGCTTGCATATCCAAAATTAATGTATTCATTTTTTTATTAGATTTGTATCCCACTTTCATTTGTTATAATTTAAGGCATGTAGATAATGCTCCTGCCTGTTTTTCCCCAAAAACCTTGAGCGATGAATTGGCCTGAGAGAGAATGACTGGCCCAAACTCACTCAGCTGGCTTTTATGCAAAAGGGAGGACGAGAACTTGGAGCTCTGGTTTCCAATCCTTCACCTTAACCACTATGCCAGAGTGGCTCTATATCATATACTGTATCTGATTAATATCAAGGACGTAATAGCCTTAGTGCTTCCTAAATTAGAGCTCTTTTAATGCACCTTAGAAGAAAGATATAGGATAAGTTAAAGCAGTATTGTACTCACATAAATCAAGAAATCCTTTAACGCGCTTGTGATTCCTTCCGAAAAAGCTATTGCTTTAGAGATGTGCTGAACTGTAATGGCTGTGAGTTGGACTTTTTCAGGCAGTTTAATTACTGCTTGGCCCTCTGATCCTGAGAATGCCCAGCAGTTTCCAGGGTTAACATCCGGCTACAAACAGAAGGCAATTCACATAAATAAAATGTTCAACAGACACAGTCTGAATTCAAGTTCTGCAGGTTGATTTTATCTGTGAGTGCAATAACAACTGGGGTTTCTCCAGGAGTGTGGTGAAGTTTATTGTGCATGTGTGACAAAATTGCTCCTGATCTCTTAGCTATGTTTTCTTTGACTTATTAAGAGGTCAGATACACCAGCAAAGTAAACTATTACTTGGTAAATAGTGTTCTGTATTTAAACCAGAATAATATCCCAACAAGTATAAATTTTCCAATCCCATTCCTCCCTTTTGAATGAGGCATTCTCACTTTCTCATTCTCTGTCATTCTGTCTGTCTTTTAATCTCACTCAGGAGAAGAAGAGAATGGGCAAGAAAGGCACAGGATCTCACACTTTTATTTGCATCCCCCTAGAAAAGAAGGTAATGGATGAGGAACTGGGAAAATGGTTACATATGGCTGAGGAAAGTAGAAGATGAAAAGAACAGATAAAGGGGATGGATGGGATTAAGCACATTACAGGAGTATTCCTGGAAGATTGGCAGATTGTTACTAAAGATGGCATGCTCCCAAGCATTTATCATCAGCAGTCAATGCTTCAACAGCATCTAACTAAATATACAGGGAACCATTTTCTTCCATTCTGAAGCCCAATAATGAAGAATTCTATAGAAATGGAAGAGAATTCTTCTTTTGTTTCCCAATGTCTAGAAAGCATAAATAAGGAGAAGCAGTCCACCCTATAGCAATAGCAATAGTACCTAAATTTATATACCGCTCCACAGTGCTTTACAGCACTGTCTGCGCTGTTTGCAACATCAGCATATTGCCCCCAGCAATCTGGATCCTCATTTTACCAACCTTGGAAGGATGGAAGGCTGAATCAACCTTAAACTGGTCAGGATCGAACTCCTGGCAGTGAGCAGAGTTAGCCTGCAGTACTGCCTTCTAACCACTGCGCCACCACGGCTCTTGCCATCATTTAGAATGTTTTTAAAGACAGCAACATAAAACTTCACAAACAATTCCAGATATACATTCAGAAACAACATTCAGAGGAGAAAGGGAACATTTTGCACTTCTTTGGAATGTTCTATTTTTGAGCTGGAGAGTTTTGTGGCATCCCTCTCAGCCTGTACTAAACCAACCAAAATCATATCATTGTAATTTGTGAACACAGCCTTCGTGTAATGCAAGGAAATGCAACAGTTATATTTTCAAGTCAGAAGAAAATAAGCCTTGAGGAATTGCAGAAAAAGTTTAGCCATACACAAACGTGTGCATAAGAACATAAGAAGCTACACTGTGCTTTCCTTTACTGATTTCATAAAAAATTAAAATGAGGTCGGATTTTATCAACATTTTGATCTGGAATACAAGATCTCTATGAAATCCAAGGTCTAGATTGAAAAGTTAAAGAAAACATCCAGAAGAAAATAATGACATGTAGTTATGAGATAGAAGCTGGACTCAAAGGACAGTACTTTTTTTCTAGTTGAGAAATTGTACTCTTCCACTAAACTAATTACTTAATAGCAATACTGCACCTGTAAAATAGTTTCAGGGGGGTTGGCTGTGGAGATAAATGGAAACCAACAGTATTCCTGGTGCAAAAAATCGTAAGTCTTGGATGTCCTGTCTTTATCAATCGTGGCTCCTAGATAGACAGACAGATGATTATGTACCCTCAAGCTGTTTTCCATTTCTAGTGAGCACATAGATGTATTTTCTCATGAAGCTAGATGACAGATTTTTTTTTAAGGCTAGAATTAGTACAGAGTAAAATACAAAGAGATTTCTTATCAGAAATTACATTCATTCACATGTAATTTCCCAATATCAGTTCCTACATAGTCTCCATGTAGATAGACGATAGATTTTTATAAAGGTTAAAATATGTACAGAATAAAATATAAAGAAACTCCTCATCAGAAATTACATTCATTCACATGTAATTATCCAATAGCACCTTTTGGAGAGTTTAGCGTAGAGAGAGGAAAATCTGTCAGATATTATTTCAAGTCACTTTATTTTTTTTCCAAACTTCAATTCAGTTCTATTCCATTCTCATACCAGTCTGCTCAATGTGTCTATTTGCCCATAGTTCCTTCAATATATATGTTTATTTATTAAACAAATTTATACGGCTGCCCAACATTTACAGTCACTCCAGACAGCTTAAAACAGGGGTCCCCAACCCCTGGTCTGTGGACTTGTACCGGGACGTGACATGCCAGCAACCGGTCTGCACAAATAAGCAAAGCCCCATCTGTGGGATGCAGGCAGCACACAAAACCATGCACTCTCAGGTCTGTGGAAAAACATTTCTCCATGGAACTAGTCCCTGGTGCCCAAAAGGTTGGAAATCTCTGGCTTACAACATTAAAATATCACAGTGTAAAAACCCATTAACCCCCCCTTCCTTACCACAAACTGACATTAGCCACTTGGTTGGCTCCATATCAACCAGGTGTCCTCAGGCCTGCTGACAAAACCAAGTCTTCCAAAAAAAGTAACAAGGTGGAGGCCAATCTTAAAGAGAGCCCTTCTCCTTGGTCCCACAAGGTGACTAATAGATGGAACCGATGACATAATTTGCCTTCTGGTGGGCCAGAAAAATGTAACTGAGGAGAGGTTCTCCTTGTAGGGATTTAAATATGATCTCCAGCACCTTAGTTGCACCCAGAAGTTTGATAAGTTCCCTCAAAAGAGGTGATACATGCACAAATCTTGTCTTGTGCAAAACTATGTGGGCCATTGAATTTTGAATCAACTGAAACTTCTCAAGGGCAGCCCCATGTAGAGCACATTACAGTAGTCCAAATG